GATGTGTGGATATTACTTATATTCTGTTTGCAAGTCCCTAAGCTAGTGATATATTTAAAAAATGGCAATTAAAAAAATACTAAAATATAAAAAATAAATACGTGTGGCACTCGGTGACTGCCGCGGTAAAGCTATTGCATAGCATTTTTTATCAACATATGCAATTATAATTATTTATTTATTTTATTTATGCAGTTAAGTCTTTGATATTAAATCAAGTTACACTTTTTGAGCGTGGTGACCGATAAGAAAACAATTTTTTTTCTCTTATTCAATAAATGAGAAGTTAATATTGTTTAAAAATATTTTTAATATCTTACAATACATGTAGGTTATTCAGGAATTTTTATCATTGAGTTAGCAGCTAGTGTACACGCAAACGTCTAGTCGCACGCACACAAACACCGTGCCGAAGTCTGCCGAACTGAAACGACGTTAGATGATGCACGGCTTTCAACGCCACACCTCCGTGCCCATCGGAGTGGGAAGCGTGAGGTTTTTTCGTTACGGAATTTCTGGATTCGGTCCCCGCGCTCAAGGCCCGCGATAGAAGCTATGCAATAGCTTAAAAAGTCTATATACATCCAAAACCTTTGCAAAGGCCTCCGCTATTTCTGAGAGGGTTTTACGTAGGACACTCAAAAAGTTTTGACATATACAAAAACTATTCTAGATACTATTAATATTTATTTTACATACTTTTAAAACATTCTCCATCATTGATTAAAACTACTTTTACGGATTTTTTCGCGTTTTATTTATTTTATTTTTAATACCCGACGTTTCGGGTGCTTTCCAGCACCCATGGTCACGGGGGACTGAGATGACTGACGTCCCGATGTCGAAGTTAACCCGGAGTACTTTCAGCTTTTTAATTATTGTCTTTGGTCCGATCTACGCAGAATGAACTAACTGTATTTTGAAGTCTTGCAGTGATATGCTTGGGTTTAGTTTTAATTTTATTAATTATAGGATCCCAAGCAGGTGGTAGTACCCAGCCTCCTTTTCTATTGAAATTAGGATGTTTTTTAATTTCAATAGCCTCACGTATCATCCTTGGTAGGAATCGGTGTTCTTTCGCGAGGATTTGTGGTCTATCAAATCTGATGTAATGGTTGGGGCCATCTAGAATATGATCGCAAATTGCAGACTTCCCGGAACGTTGATGCTTCACGTCAGCTATGTGTTCTTTTACGTGGGTTCTAATTGATCTCTTTGTTTGCCCTATATATGAGAGACCACAATCACAATCAAGCTTGTACACTCCTGCATCTTGTAGAGAAATATGACACTTGACGGATGGTAAGAACTGACTAATCTTCTTCGGCGGCTTGTAGAATGTTCTAATAGAAGCTCGCTTCAAGATGTAGCCAATCTTTTCTGTGACACCTCTTAGGATTTCGGATGACTAACACATCTAGGAAAGCTAAGGAATTATTTGCCTCTAACTCCATAGTAAATTGAATTTTAGGGATTGTGGAATTAAGATGTTCTAAAATTTCAGTTACTTTGTCTGATGATTAAAATTGTGAAAGTATCGTCTACGTACCGCTTGTAGAACCTTGGGGTAACAGGTGCAGTAAGGAGGGCTTTCTCCTCAAAGTCTTCCATGAATATATCGGCGACAATGGGAGATACAGGTGAGCCCATCGCAACACCATCTACTTGCTTGTAAAACTCTTCCTTCCACAATAGATAGCCAGATGTAAGGCAATGTCTTCGTAGTACTGCATATTCTGTTGGCATGTTATTTTCATCTAGTTTCCTAGTTATAATTGAGATGCAGTCTTCAACAGGTAGGCATGGAAATAGAGACTGAACATCAAAACTGACCATGGTTTCATTGTCAGCAAGACGTAGGTCTTTTATCTCACTGACAAAGTGGTATGAATCCTTAGTATGTACTCTTGTGTGTCCTCTGAGTGGTGATAATATTTTGGCTAAGTGTTGAGCCAATCTGTACGTTGGCGAATCGATTTGACTCACTATTGGACGTAATGGAGCGTTAGGTTTGGGTATTTTTGGTAACCCATACAACTTGGGGGGTTTTGCACACGAATGTATCATCGAATTGACGTCTAGATTCAATTTCTCGGAGTATTTTTTAATTAGATCGCTAGTTGTTTTAAGCGTATTAGTTGTAGGGTCTGTTTTGACCTTACCGTATGTACTTTCATCCGAGAAAATTTTAAAATTGTAATCCGACGTATATATTACAACCGTAGCATTTCCTTTATCTGCGCGGAGAATCGTAAGCTCTGGTCTGTTGCGTAAGGTTTCTAACGCGTTAAATTCATTTTTGGGAAGATTTAATTTCGGCGCTGTACTTCGACGTAACATAGACTAAATGTCTTGGCGTATGGCCTCTAAATCTTTATTACCAATGTTAAACAGACAACTACAGATAATGTCGTCATACGGGATTCTTCGCGGTGTAATTGCGTAATTAAAACCTCTTCCTAAAACTTTTAATGTGGCGTCGTCCAGAGTTTGTTTTGACAGGTTATAGACCACGCCTTGTTTACTATTCGTGTCTGTGGTGTGTGTTTCAGAGAGCACGAGGGATCTGTGACAGCAAACACCTAGCCGCCGAGCTTCAGCACGTCAAGCAGGTTCTGCACGACAACAAGCTTCGGGTCCCGCGCCTCCGTCACAGTGACCGAGTGAAGCCGGCCACAGTCGAGCGTGTGCCTGCTATACTACCATATATCAGAGGTGTCACAGACAAGATTGGCTACATCTTGAAGCGAGCTTCTATTAGAACATTCTACAAGCCGCCGAAGAAGATTAGTCAGTTCTTACCATCCGTCAAGTGTCATATTTATCTACAAGATGCAGGAGTGTACAAGCTTGATTGTGATTGTGGTCTCTCATATATAGGGCAAACAAAGAGATCAATTAGAACCCGCGTAAAAGAACACATAGCTGACGTAAAGCATCAACGTTCCGGGAAGTCTGCAGTTTGCGATCATATTCTAGATGGCCCCAACCATTACATCAGATTTGATAGCCCACAAATCCTCGCGAAAGAACGTCTATTCCTACCAAGGATGATACGTGAGGCTATTGAAATTAAAAACATCCTAATTTCAATAGAGAAGGAGGCTGAGTACTACCACCTGCTTGGGATCCTATAATTAATAAAATTAAAACTAAATACAAGCATACCACTGCAAGACTTCAAAATACAGTTAGTTCATTCTGCGTAGATCGGAGCAAAGACAATAATTAAAAAACTGAAGGTACTCCGGGTTAACTTTGATATCGGGACGTCAGTCACCTCAGTCCCCCGTGACCATGGGTGCTGGAAAGCACCCGAAACGTCGAGTGTTAAAAATAAAATAAATAAAACGCGAAAAAATCCGTAAAAGTAGTTTTAATCAATGTACAGTGTTCGCGTAAATATAAGAAATCATTACATTCTCCATCATGCTCTATACAAAGTTCCATTCGCCTAAACCAACTATGAAAACACTTTTGCCAGTCTTGATCTGACAGGTCAGAAATCGCTTTTTCGTAGGCAGCCACGGCTTAATCGGCGCTTGAAAAAAACTTGCTTTTTATTTTTATACTTCTTTGACGCTTGGGAACAAAAAGAACTTGCTTTATATTTTTTGACGTTGGGAAGAAAAAGAAATCACAAGGAGCTAAGTTAGAGAGCAAACGCGGGATCCATCGCCAAAAAAGCTTCCTCACTCCAAGATGTTGATGTAGGATGGTATGAATGCTCCCCGAAATAATACCTACAGTCTTTTCGATGTCCATATATGTGATTCGTGGTGACTCTTCTCGCACCAACATTTCAGTAGTCCACACATTTTCCGCCGTTACTGCTGTTTGCGTGGCCCCGGTTCTTTTGTCATCTTTAAGTTTAATTTCACCCCTTTTAAATTCAACGAAACACCTAAAAATTGTTGCGCGTGATGTAACTGAATGCCATAATGCTGATTGTAGCCGTTGGAAACTTAATTGTTTACTTAAACCAAACTTAAAACCAAAATAGATCATAGCGCGTAAATGTTAACGGTTAAGATCCATCGTTTTAAATTAAATGCGCGGGAAGCATTGCAGGAAAATTAATAGAACTTTGTTTCTTTTTTTTTTTAAATATTGATCAGTTGGCTTTCGGAATTCTATTTTTAAATAAATTTGATTTTTAGAAACATATAACACGGGTGCTTACCATTGCATTGGTGCTTACCAGTGCATTTTTAAATTTCGAGCATCTCAAAACTTATTGAGTGACCTACGTAGGACAGGGAATCCGCCGCGTTGCCCCAATACGTGTCAGTGAACTTTACATGTCTTCGAAATATTTTTTTCTTATTTATCAGACGGGCAGATTCATGAAGAAACCTGTTTTCCTTTACCGCCGTATACTTGGTTAATCAGCACAAAAAATAACATTTTCATCTTATTTGAGATCTACCACATATTTGTTTTATTTCATAGGCTGACTACTACGCTCTACGCTATACATATCTATATCTCAAACTCTGTAACAAGAACTGTGTACTGTGTACAAAATCTGTTATATAAGCGATTTGTATTTCGACTACTTCAGACTTTATGAATTTTTAAGCAGAGTTTTAATAAATTTAGTAAAATTTTAAAGAAAATATTAACCCTTTACATTATTATAATATTTAATGTTCGAAATGAATGTTTTTCTTTAACTTTATGCTTATTAAATCATTTAAACTATTCAAAATATTGCTTATAAGATACTTTTAGATAACTTTATATAGAAATCAATTATTTTTTAATAATCAAATCGCTCAAATATATTTGATGTTGCCGAACTCGAACGGCTACGACGTGAAACATGCGGTGAAAATGCTACGGCTGAGGATGCGGCGCCACAACTTGTAGAGCAAACGGCAAACGTGGATGCCGCCGTGAATACCCCAGTTGTGGTTGATTCAAACGATGATGGAACAATCGTCCAGGAACTGGAACTAGAGCAAATGAGGAGTACATTGGAAGAGGCGATTGTGAAAATGCGCAGTACGCCTTTCGAAAATCGACCGCGACTTCCCCGCATAGCCCTAAGCAAGCGGAATCGGGTTGTCGTGAGGAATCTGAACCCAATGCTGGTGACCTATTTGGAAGCCAGCCGGGACCTTTGCGAGACGGACTCAATTCTTTTTGGCGCCGCTCTGGCAGTCTGCCGTATTATAGGCGCCAAGCTCTCCACGGCTGGACGCGCTACTGGACAATGTAGTGCTATTCCAGCCTGGAGAATAAGAATTGAAGAACGTATCGCAAAGGCTAGGGCCCTCATCGGCTGATATGCTTCAGGTCAGGCAATACCAGGCCAAGGATTATGCGCACCGTCAGGATGGCGTTTGCTGGGACAAATGTTAGTTTGTCCCAGCCGGATACAATGCAAAAACTGACGGAGAGCATAGACGACCTGAGGCAGAGAATCGCTGCTTGGGGAAAGCGGATTCGGCGATATACCGAGAGGTTGACACGGTTCAATCAGAATCGTCTCTTCCAGAGTGATCAGAAGAGGCTTTATAAATCATTGGAGCGACCAATGGTAAGTGGAACTGACCCAGCACCGAATCAGGCCGACACGGTCGCATTCTGGCGCAGCCTGTGGTCAGGGACCGTAAACCACAGTGAGGGCCCTTGGACGTAAGTTGTGGCGAGTCAGTGTGCTGGTATAACGCCCATGGACCCCGTCATCATAACGCCCGATGATGTAGCTGAGGCGGTCCGTAGGGCCCCGAAATGGAAAAGTCCGGGGCTTGACGGGCTGCATCACTACTGGCTGAAGGGGTTCATGGTGTGTCACGCTGTGCTCGCCCGACAGTTTCAAGAGGCTCTTAACCAGAAGTCGCTCCCAAGCCTCTTCACTACTGGGATCTCTCATTAGATTCCTAAAGACCAGGGTACCACAGACCCGAGCAAACACCGCCCCATCACGTGTCTACCGACCATATACAAAACACTAACATCCATTTTGAGCGGAAGAATCACTCGTCACCTGGACTCAAATCAGGTGATGTCGCACGCTCAAAATGGATGTCGGGGGCGGCGGTCGTGGAACCAAGGAACCACTTCTCATTGACGCGGTCATTGGCAAAGTGGTGAAACGCAACCGCCGGAACTTCTGCACCGCCTGGATAGTCTACAGAAAGGCATTTGCCCCATACATGGCTAAAGAGGGTCCTCGAGCTGTACAAGATTGACTGTACAGTACGAGACTTCCTCGAGCAGTGTATGGGGCAGTGGAGTACGATCCTCTGTTATCTAGGCGAGCGGATGACGGCTGCGGAAAGCCGCACAAGCATAAGAAGGGGTATATTCCAGGGCGACTGTCTGAGTCCAATCTGGTTCTGCCTCTCTTTGAACCCTATCAGTACTTTACTGGAGGGCTCCGGGAGGGGATTTCAACTTCGGAAAGGGGGTACAAAAGTGACCCAACTTTTCTTTATGGATGACCTCAAATTATTCGCTTCCATCTTATGGAATTGCTAAACATCACTTATGAATTTAGCAATTCTATTGGAATGGAGCTGGGGACGGATAAGTGTGCGGTCCTCCATGTTGAAAGGGGAAGGGTTGCTAACTCTGAGGGCATAGACTTATCTATGCCCGTCAACTTAAGAACCCTTTCCGAGGCTGAAACATACCGATACCTGGGTATGTCACAGAACATCGGTTTCGATAAGGCTGGTATGAAACAGTCAGTTTGCGACATGTTTTATGCACGCTTGACCAAAGTGCTTAACAGCCCTTTATCCAGTGTGAATAAGGCACACGCATATAAGTTCATGCCTGTCCTCATGTATACCTTTGGAAAACTCAGGTGGACTCAGACTGAACTTAACGCCCTGGATAGAAAAGTCCGCACTACCATGCATAAATGCATAATCGCGAAGTGTGCAGCCTCCATGATTACTTCCCATCTATAATGACGTCATTTCTAGTGATAAAGGGCTTACCCCTCTATCCTTAGCCAACGAGCAATGGCAGGACCTGGCAGTACAAATCATTTCCGACCGAGAGATCGTATGGAAGGAGAAGGAGCTCCACGGGAGGTACTACAGGGCTCTACATGAGCCCTTCATAGATACAGTCGCCTCCCTCAACTGGCTACGTTCGGTGACCTTTTCGGGGAGACCGAGAGTTTTTTCTGTGCAATACAGTATCAGGTTATTAAGACCAACAACTATCGGAGATACATCCTAAAAGATGGCACCGTCGACGCCTGTTGAGCTTGGCGCCATCCCGGTGAGTCACTTAGGCATGTCATCTCCGGTTGTTCGGCGCTTTCTAACTCTGAGTACTTGCACAGGCACAACCTAGTAACCAGAATTCTACACCAAGAGCTCTCTCTGAAATACGGTCTCGTCTACCGGAAATTGCCGTATGTCGTATGTGTAATGCCGTACATGCACTTACCGGAAGCCGTTCTCGAAAATGACCGCGCCAGGCTCTACTGGAACCAGGCCATCATCACAGACAGGACTATTCTTGCGAATAAGCCTGATATTATACTGATGGACCGGGCACAGTCAAGGATATATCTGATCGACATTAACATTCCGTATGACGAGAACCTCGTGAAAGCCGAAACAGATAAACGAACAAAATATCTGGACCTGGCTCACGAGGTAACCGACATGTGGGATTGTCTACCAGCCTAAATTATTCCTGTAGTCGTCTCTGCGAATGGGTTAATCCCAGTCAGCCTCTCGGATCGTCTGAGGCGACTGGGACTCCGTGACGGACCGCTCCGAGCTCAAATGCAGAAGGCGGTGCTCCTCGATGCGGGCGGTACCGCATCGTCCGCCGGTTTCTTTCCCTTTCCTCCTAACCCTCGGCCATTTGGTCTCCCCTGCCGAGAGCTTCTATCTGGTTGGATATTATTTATTTATGTATTTTTTTGTATTTGTTTTATTTTATTGATATTTATGTATATTTATCTTTTCATTTTAACTTAAAATTATACATTTATAGAACAAAACCAGATGAGAAAATTATATAGATACCCCAAAAATAATAATAATATACACCAGAACGAATTTTGTTCACGGCGGCCTATCTCATCGGATATGGGTCACTTGCACAGGACAAGATTATAATTCATGAATGTGTACGCAAACACAGATGCACTCTCTATTACCTCATTCTCATGGGAAGGCAATATAATACGATCGGTGAGCGATCAAGTGCAGCACCAACGGCTATCTATCTATCTATCGTGATTTCTGAGGCACGAGGTTGAAACTCTGCCAACCTCTTGACTCCGAGCTGGTACTGAAAATTTCTGTACATAAAAACCTTTTACAACCAATAACTGATTTTGGCCCGACCCAGGATTCAAACCCGGGACCTTATGATCATTAGTCGCGGTTAAGATCATCTGCCGCAGAAGCACCCAGCCGTCAATTTTGGATAACAATTTAAAATAACCCTGTTTTTCTGCGGTACAAAATCGTGTTAATATAAAATGATATTTTGAGTAGAATTCTACCATTCCAGTGTTTCTTAAGGCGTCTACAACTTAATTTTCTCCGTCGGCTTCAGAAATAAACGTTCAGTCGCTTTCCGTCCGACAGCGCGGGGGAGGTTTCACTTTATAATGTTTGTTTACTTTCAGTCTCTCTTACATTTTTTAGAGAAAAAAGATGACAATAAAAAGTTTGCTATCTTTTTTTCTTATCGTCAGGCTCTATGCATGTTTACTATTGTGTGATTTTCTCATATTTAGTTTTCTATAAAAAAAGTATGGCAAGCACGTACAGTCTTCATTCATTCCTTTATCACAGTATACTCAGGGCTTAGTTTTCTTTTGTAACTCTTTTGGTTAGTCTCTTTTGTAGCATAATGCTGAGTTGGAGACCCATTTGATGTCACATTTTATCTTTAATTCTTTTGTAGTGGCGCTGTCGTCGCGCCACAAGCAAAATACACCGAAACCTAAATCACGATATCAACATTCCGAATCAGAAACATTATATATAGAACATCTCCGAACTATCACATGGAGTGTTGACCACTCCCCGGGCAGAACGCCTTGCCCGGTGGGAGATCTCCCCTTTTCCTACCACGGCCACACTTTTTTAATTTTTGATTTAATTTTTTTTGTTTCATTATTAATTAACATTATGAATGTTCTGTTTATTGAATAATTTTTAATGCGTAAGCAGTCTTACACCGACTCATGCAAATTCTTTGCCCATTGTAATTTATATTAAAAAATTTTAAATTGTGTGTAAAGTGTGATTATCGAATAAATGGATTTTTCTTTCTTTCTTTCTTTCTAACTCTACTTCTAATAAAAAACATAATTTTATAAATGATGTCTGCCTTAAATGCAAAGTCACTATATATATGACCAGTCTAAGTAAATAGTTTATATTTCATAACATGATCTGCGATAATCTGTGGCTATCGGATATTGTATTAATAATTCATAGTGCTTGAAGTCGTGCTAGCTTTATGATGCGGGTCTTGAATATTAGAGCAGTTGGTGTGGTTGCACACCACGCCCATGCATACGCAGTGTATGCACACGTATTTCCTATAAAAATAAGTTCATATTGCCTTATCGCGGCTTTGCAGTTACGTCATTTTTACTTTTAATGTTTTCATTAACCATTTTATTGCAGTGATATTGACTAAGTCGATCTTAGTAGATATAAAATGTCTCGCAACATTGACGCTGTTCCAAATCGTTATTATGGATATTTAAAATTTCGTTTAAACTATATGGTGAAAACGTCGTCATGGTGGTTATAAGTGATTACGTATAAACCTACGTACGAAGATTGTTGGTTCATTTTTTTTTACGTTATTTTTAAACATTGAATTACTGCCAACTCTGCCATTTAAGTTTCAAATAGATCTGAGGTTCAATATTTATATTTAATTACAATTACGGATTAATTTATGTATATATACTTTATTTACACACCAAGCACAAAAATACTAGCTTAATGCAACAGGGCATTCTCTACCAGTCTACCTTCAGCTAAGCAGAGAAGATAGATAGATAGATATATAACTCTTTATTGCATTTGAACAAAGTTATTACAATAGCGGAAAACTTATGACTACAAACGGCGGTCATATCGCTTTAAGCGATTTCTGCCTGACAAACCGAAACCAAAAGGACATTATAATTTTATATTTTGACGGATAGGTGCAAGGTAGATATCATTTTAATGATATTATATATTTTATTATAACACTGATAATATATACGCAGATCCTTAGCATACATTATATCGTTTTTTTAATTTTTTTACCTACAATATACTAATTATTTATT